CAAAAGTGCTTGCTGGTCCAGCACGCAGAGATGTGGCCACAGCCCTCTTCGGCACCCCTTGGAACACATGTGCACGCTGGGCTGTGGACAAGCTCGGGTATGAAAACACCCACGCGTCCCTATAGGCACCAGTGTGCCGGAAGGCACACAGTTGAGACATTTGTGCATGTGTGTGATCAGATACTGGCATCCCAGATGCTTACAGAGGCATATGTGCACAGATACACATACATGTTTGATTATAGGCGATGGAAGGCCAACACACACTCCCAACCCCTTGAAACTCACCCTCAGAGACAATCATCCATACTCCTAAAAACAACGTATCCAAAGGCACTGGATAGTCTCTCTCTCTCTCTCTCTCTCTCTCTCTCTCTCTCTCTCTCGTTATGTCTTTCTTAAAACCTTTCTTTATTAGTTGTTAATTTTTTCTTTGTTTTACCTACCCCTACACAAGGCCCTTCTCCTTTCCTCCTCCCTTCCCCACTTCTCAGTCCCCTAGTCTCAGCCCCTACCTCCCCAGGGTTCTCCAAGACAGTTGTTGGGAAGGACAAAACCTTGTGGGTCCCTTGACATCCAGCTGAAGAAACCATTTCTCTCTTAGGAAGCATCCTTATACCCTTACACTGGGATCTCTGCTCTCCAAACTTGGGGGTGGGTTTGGAAGTGTTTGTCATGGCCCCAGAGATACACGCAGATAAAAATCCCTTCCTCCCATTTGGATGCAGCCTTCGCACTCACATCATCCTGCTTGGACAAGCAGGAGGGTGCAGTGCAGGAGGCAGATGAGGAAAAGGGAAGGATGCACAGGGGACCCTGAACTGAGGACAAGGGGCAAGGGAGCAGAAAGGAAAGGTGACTAGAAGAGGAGTGGGCAGGGAAAATGGCTCCTATTTATTGATTCCAGATCCCATTTTGGTGCAAAATTGTCATGGTGATCTCTGAGCTCATGGGTACAGTCAAGACCCAAGACAAGCCAGGTTGGGGTCTAATGTCTAGAATCCCAACACTTGTTGGGCTGATGCAGAAAAAACTGCCACAAGTAGAGTCCAGCCTGGGGTACATATTGAGACTCTGTTTTTCAGAGAGAGAGAGAGAGAGAGAGAGAGAGAGGAGAGAGGAGAGAGAGAGCGTACTCAGGACAGCACCTCCCCACCTTGCTAGATGGGGTGAGGGAGCATCGACACACACCCACACCCTTCGAAAGTGGAGACCAACCTTGGGTGTACCCAAGAGGAGGCGTCAAGTGGTGCATAGCCCCACAAGAGGGGAGAGAGAATAGGGTGGGTTTCCATGAGGTCCTATCCATCTGCCCACTCTCTCCCATCCTTGGGCCCCTGGCTCTAGAGTCCAGACTGACACAGCTCCAAGCAGGCAGAAAATTTATGGCCCCAGAGGGGAGAGAGGGAGGAGCTGGTGGTGGTGAGAGGAGAGGAAGGGAAACCGCCTACAGGCCAATCAATATTGGTGAGTGGGAATTGGAGAGAGTGGTGCTGAGGGTGTTGGGGAGAGAAATAGACACAGAGGGTAAGGAAGAAGAGAGAGTGGAGGTGCGCAAGAGATCAATAGAAGTTACAGGCATGAGGAGAGGTGGAGAAGCAGCCATGGTGAGAGACTAACAGCCTGGGAAAGGCAAGAAACTGCCTCAGACAGCAGGAGCCCAGGGGCATCGGTGTGCACATTGCTCTCCTCTCTTCTCTCGTTGAATAGTCCTGTTTCCATGCTCTCTACCTCCTTCTCCAACTGATCTTTTTTCTTGGTCTGCCAGAGTTGACTCTTGAGAGCTCCCTCAAGCCCCTCATAACACAGATGGAGAAACTGAGGTAAAAGGCAGGAAGAGGTTATCCTGAAGGTCAGGCCTCTCTTCCTCCTAGTCTGGCTCCGTCCAGACAGCTTGGAACACCCTCAGAGGGCCGATTCTGCCCTGCCACCTTGCCCATAATCTCTTTGTTCATTTCTGTGTCGTGGTGTACATTTGTACAGGGCTCCAAGAAGCAGACATGGAGCTAGCATGAACATCCAGACAGAGGAGAGGCCCCAAGAGAAGGGAGCATGACTGACATCCCACCCAGTTTCCAACCAGCACTGGCTACTTCAGAACAGCACCGAGCCCTCTGGGTGCTCCAGGCTTCACCCACTTTTTCTTTTTTTGTGTTTTTTTTTGGGGGGAGTGGGTTTTTTATTTTTTTGGTTTGGTTTGTTTTGGTTTTTGGTTTTTCAAGACAGGGTTTCTCTGCATTGGTTTGGAGGCTGGCCTCGAACTCACTCTGTAGACCAGGCTGGCCTCGAACTCACAGAGACCCGCCTGCCTCTGCCTCCTGAGTGCTGAGATTAAAGGCGTGCGCCACCATCGCCCGGCCACTCCCACCTTTCCTTTAGTCCCACAGCTTTGCTCAGGCAATACCACCAGATACACAGTCAGGGGCTTGGAATGACAACACTTCCACTTCAAAGTGTGAGGCTGGCCCCTCAGCTCTGGAGTCCTTTTGTCTACAAACCTAAAACCTAGAGAACATTCCCTAATTGCCCAAAGGAGGAGCAATTCTCTAGACACAGCTCTGCCTCCAGCTCTAGGCCCTTTCCTGAAGCCCAGTAGTGAACATGAGCAGCCATACTTAGCCCAGATTCCCTATATCCTGAGCAAGACAAACCAACATGGGTATCACTGCCATTCCCAGAATCCCATGTACAGTAGGAGTAACCATCAGAGTCAAGGGACCCCAGGTTCTAGCAGAACTCAACCACTGACCCCCTGTGACTGGAAGGTTGGTGAAGGATTGAATGGGAGGGCTTTGCAGGTGGCATCAAACTGTCAGTGGGGAGGGTTAGGGTGATCAGGTCTGTGCCAACTAAAACCAAGTAGAACACACAGCAGGGCTGAGGTGGTCCTGAGCTGGCTGGGAGTTAGGGAGGCACACAGGACAAATGGGTCAGATGAAACTCCTGGGGGACAGAGCTGGGACAGATGGCCACACCTGATAACCAGGAAATGCAAGGCAGTGGGTGGCAGGGAGAGGGGCTGGGACATTTTACCAAAGGGAAAACCAACAGCCACCCAAGAGCCTCATCCCCTGGGACGGCTCAGGACTCCTAGCGGATGATGCAGATCCAGATGAGTGGCGAGGAGACGGGCAGGAGGTCTCACCTAAGCCTGCTGTAACTACCTCTACGCATCTCCAGGCCCTGTTGGCTCACTTCCACTTTGTCTTTGAAAAGCAGGGCAGCTTTATCCTCCTGTGTATGTATGGGGGGGGGTCTTTTCTGATGTCACTTTGCTTATCTACACACCCCATCCCCAGTCATCAGAAAGGTCAAAGCCTCCACACACCCCTATACCCCCATGTCTGACCCAGCTGTCCTCCCTCTGCCAAGCGCTAACCAGCTGATGGCCACCAACCACTGGGGACTGGAAAATGCTGCCAAAGCTGCTATCTCTGGGGAGGGGCCTCAACAATATGCAAGGGAGGGCACTAGGGACTGACCTTGTGGCTCAAAAGGACAACCTGCAGCTGGGATTCTTGAGTTGGGAGGATAAAGAGGGAACAGCAGGGCCTATGTCTAAGGAACCAGGACAGGCCACCTGACAATAAATAGATGGCTCCAGAGACTCAGGCAGCAGTGAGGGGCAGCAACCACTAGCCCCTGTAGTCTCTGTAATGATGGAACAGAAGGAAGCAAAACCCCTCTTTCCTCCCTCCCAGGCAGTTCCTGTGGCTGGGAATAGGGGTGGGAACTCCCAGGAACCAGCCCTGCAGGCACTCACGGTCATTACAGACAGGGCCTCCATAGGAAGTCATGGTACAGTCACAGGTAAAGCCATCCCACTGCTGCAAGCAGACGCCCTGGTTGGCACAAGACTCTTCGGTGCAGGTGGTGCTGGGGCCTGGAAAGAGCAGAAACGAGAAATGCCCTCTGCTCAACCACATCCCCAGGGGCTGCAGAAGTTCCACAGCAAGGCACAGAGCCTCTGCCCTTGGTCCACAAGACTAAAAGGGCCAGACACTGAACACAGTGCTGGGGTGGGATAGGAACAAGGACACTCAAAGACTGCTAGGTTTGGGCCAGGGTGGAGGACAACAAGGACAGTATGTGACTCATCCCTTGCCTGTCCTCCTTGTCCCAGAGTTCATGGGACAGGCTTCTGCAAGACCCGAGAAGCTTCAGGGCCACAGCTAGCCCTGCCCCGTACTCACCATCACAGCCCCTCTCCACCTGCCCTATGCGGTGCAGGGCATCAGCAATGAGGTCTGGGAGGCGCCCATTGAGGTCCACAGAGGCCAGGCAGCCCTGAAAGCCATCCCGAGAGGCCACCAACTTGGGCAGGTTGCTGAACATATTCTTGCTCAGGCCACCGATGTACAACTCCCCTGCAAAGGGAATGCTGTCAACACCCTCCACTGTGGTCCTTACTCCCCTCCCAGGATGCTGGCCTCCCACCACCGGATCCTCCCAGACATCTGAAAGGCTCATGGTATCCCTACCAGATACAACGACCTGCAGATTCCTCTTCCCTTCCCTTTGCCATCTGTCTGCTCCTCTCCCTCAGAAGCCCAGACGCCTATGGCAGGGCTGGGGCCGGGGCAGCTGGAGGGACCCACTCCATGCTCTCCCACACATTGGATTCCAGTTCCGGCCCATAATCAGGGCCTTTCATGGATGCACAGCCTTACATCCCTTCCACCCCCGCTCTCTCCTTCCCAGAACTGCAGGTCTTTCCCCACTCAGCAGTCTTCTCTCCTCCAAAGTCCTCCTGACAACTGGGAAACTCTGGAAAGAAGTCTTCCTTAGAGATACCTAATTTCCCACATGAACTCTAATTCTCCTACAAGGGAAGTCCTGACCATCTTAACTGAAGTCTAGTTCCTGGGTCGGCTGCCACGGCCGATTCTCTGTACCACACCGCCCTCTCCTGGGAGCAAAGAGAATTCACAGCAATGCCGTGCAAGCTAGTGTGTCTGGGGGATTCAGGAAGTGAATTCACTAGTCTCTGAAGATCTTCCCCAAGTTTTGACATTTCGGGTCACATGGACACACACGGGGCCCTGCAGAGCTAAGGGATGCTGTAGGCAGTGCCCAGAGGCCCCATGGATCCCAGCTGGCTCTGGATCTGCTGCAGGCCTCACGTGTCCTGTTCCAATGTCCAGTCTGCCATCTCCTTCCCCCCCCCTTCTCTTCCTATGCCTTTCTACTTCTCTCCTCCTCCTCTTCCTCTCAGCCACCTACTCTGGGGTCTAGCAATGTCCACTCAATGACTGCTGTTGAGTCACTGAAGAAGGTGGGACCCTAGTGGGAAATGGTTTGCCCAGTGCTCTATGTAAGGGGGCTTCACAGAGCCCAGTGAGACCCAGGTGAGAAACATCAGCCAGACACAGTGTAGAACAGGAAAGAGGGTTGGGGAGAAGGAGGAGAAGCAGCCTTGACCCCTTGCAGTGGGTCAAGGGGGTGGGGGTGATCTTGCTGGAGAAGGGGAGCTGGGTTAGGGCTGGCCTTCTCCAGAGGCTCCAGCCCCACCTTTGAGATCCAGATTTCGGGCACCATTGGAATGCTGGGTGACAGTGCGGGAGTCGATCTTCAATGTGTGCACATTGCCGGGGTCCCTGGACACCACCACGTTGTGCCATTGGTTGTCATTGACCGGTTTGTCTGAGTTTCCCTTCATCAAGGATGGGCCATTCCCCAGGTCAAACACGTAGTGGATGTACCTGCCCCACAGTAGGGAGGAAACAGTAGATCAGGTGGGGACCGCTGAGATGCCAGGAGAGGAGGCGCTACTGCTGGCAGAGAACTAGGGGCCTGGGACAGAGGATTGGAGGAAGAGATCCCACAGGAAGGAACAAAGGTTATGACATGAAGTCTTATCCCAGGGAGTTCACGGACGCACTTGCTCTTGATACCCAAGAGGACTAGACAGAGGGGGGAGTTTGGGTGATATAGTTGGGGTCACCCAGAAGCAGAGTCTGAGCTGCTTGGGGGTGCAATCTTCCGGGGCAAGAGAATGACTGGGCTTACTTCTGCCACAGAGAGGCCAGGGGCCAGAGAAGGGTGTAACTGGGGACCCTAGCAAGGAAGCAGCTGAGGAACCAGCAGCCTGGAAGCAGGGTTCGGCTTCTCCACCTTGGCTGAGGAGGAACCCTCCTGGCTGATGACTAGGGATGTGAATCCTTGACCTGAGGTCTGGGTGCCTTGAACATTCCCAATGGCCAGGGAACTGTATCTGGACCAGCAAGAGGACATCACCACAATGCCCAGCCCCTCACCCCTTGACCAGCTCGATGACAATGAAGTCATTGCCGTTGCCTGAGTTGAACAGCAGAAGCCCATCAGGGGCTGTGGTCTTGAACTGGAAGAAGAGGTGCATGGAAGCATAGGCTTGGAGGGTAGCCAACGCCAGGTAGCTGCTGCGACTCTTGAAGGTGACAGGATCAGCCACAATGGCACGCAGACCAAAACGAGCATTAAGCTCGCAATAGGTGATGTCCCCGTCTTTGCACTGGTCCATGTAGGGCTGACCGTTGAACACCAGCCCACTCAGGTGCCCGATGAAGTTGGAGGGTACCACAGAGATGAACCGCCGCTCTGTCATGATGCCAGTCTCAATGTTGTGGAACTCCAGACGAGTGTGGGCTCCTGCCATCTGTCCTGCTCAGGACATAAGACCAGTGTGAGGGAGAGGAACTTAGTGCACAAACACAGGGTCACCTCTGGCATGGGGTCTTGTGTTCCCAGAAACACCATCTCCTTGACACAGGGCCATAGCAAGCAACATCAGTAGATGTCCTGGGCCAGTGCTAACATCCCACCACTCTGGGAGAAGCTACAGGAGTCAGTGAAGGACAAACAAACTTCCACGAAGATGCTGCCTGTTGGGAGCTGAAATGGTCCCTGGGCCCAGACCCATCATAATGACTTCCCTAGAAGTAACAACCCAGGCAGTGGTTACAAACCAAGCACAGGTCACTAGAAATATGTCCACCACCCTGGGTCCAGGCCACCTACCCTCCACAGTCACGTTGTCCACAGACAGCTGCAGGCTCTTGCCACGACGTACCACCCTCACTGTGTGCCACTCATTGTCGTTGAGCTTGTGCCCCGCAAACAGTGTCTCAGGGCCTTTACCTGCAGCACCAAGGGGGGAGTGAGCACGGCACTGACACACGGTCACAGACAGCTTCAATCATCAGCCAGGCACAACGAGCCCACCTGCACATGTGTACGCTCAACTTCGACCACATGTCAGTGTGACTGTTCCTCGCCTCACACCTGGAGTGCATGCGGGGACACCTTACACCTGGGGTCACAAACCTAATCCATCCAGCCCTGTCACTTTGTGTGACTGCAAAGGATTCCATTTGTATAGAATATGGCGTGAACGGTGGCCCTTAACAGACACGCCTTTCCCTTGTCTCCTAAGGACCTATATTGTGTGACACTAGCAGCTGAGTTCTCAAACCTAACACTCCCAACACCACACCCCCCAAAGGAGGGGCACCTACAGCTCCCCTCCACATCCACAACCAGCTCAGTGGGAGCTGTCACTTCTCTGTACACTCCAGTTTAACTCTACACCCTGGAACTGCTGTCCCTTCACAGCACTCAACGAGCCTGCAAGGCCACAGACTCGTTCTGTTTCTTGGAAACTGTGACCATTTATTGACAGTGGGGTTGTCGACAAGCACACACATCTGTCAGATGTTGCTGGGATTTGTAGCACCTCTGAGCCACCCCTGGATCCTGAATGCTCAGTCTGCCTGGGGCTCAGGGTGCTGACCTTAAAAGGCCTCAGGTGTGTGCACACACTGTGCCACGACCACACAAAACAAGGGACACTGAACACACAAACTCTCTACTTGAGCCTTCCATGCCCATAACTCTTTAGGTGATCTGACTACAAGACACACCTTGCAGAAACTCTGAGACTGAGCACTAGCCCAGGGGCAGAGACATCAGCTCTCCTTCTGATTCCTGAGTTTGACAGGAACTCTGCAGACTCAGGCAATAAAGATTTTAGACTTTGAGGCTTGCCCAAGTCGCCTTTCCCATGTGCCTCGCCTGCCTCCTTGTGGTCATTGGTGGAGACGCATCACTATGTCTCCAGGCTTTGTGTTCTTGAAGCAGTTGTCATTTAGCTGCACGTTTCTGCCTCCTGCTGCTGACTTGGGAGACAAGGTGTCTTGTCCCCCCCCCCCCCACTTTCCCAGAATCCATAAATATCCTTACCAACTACTTCTCCCTGGTTCTGCTTCGTTTTATCCATTGTGCCCTCCACAATTCCCCATCCCAGCCCCATGCCTGCTCCCCTCCCCACACACCTGGCCAATCGCCTCACAAGCCAGTAATAAAACTACCCCTCCCCCTCCCTCCATCCCTTTCTCCCTAAACCCAATGCCCAGCCTCCCAGACCCCTCCTGTCTCTGTAGAAGAAGAGGGAAGCCACTTACTAGGTGCGCAGCCGACGCGCAGGCAGTCTGGGGGGGCCATGGGGTGGGCAGAGGGGGAGGGAGAAAAAAAGGCAAAACAAGGTTTTTTGGTTTTGTTTTTTGTTTTTTTTTTTTTTTACATCCTTCACAGGGAGGGGGTATCTGCAGGCAGGGTTTCCCTCCAGGGCCACTTTCTGGGGACCACGCGTGCCCAGGTGCCCTTTCCCCTTCCTCAGTTGGACCCTTGTCCTTCCTGCCCCCAAGAGGGCTTCAACCCTCCCCAAAGCCAAGAGGCAGGGCAGTCAGGTAGTAGGAAGAGGGCTTGTGTTCCCCTTTTTTGAGGGGCCCAGGCCTCTCATGTCTAAGGGAGACGGGCACCTCGGGAATCCCAGCCGTACAGGGGATTGCCAGGGGATGAAGGCTTGGCTGACCCCATATCTATCCAATCCCTGGGAGGGAGATGGGTAGGGAAGGCCAGGGTCCCTGCATCCCCTGCTCTGGGATGACACCCTGCTTAGAGCTCAGGTGTGACATGTCACTCCTCAAGCTTTGAGCTCAAAAGAGGGGTCTGTCCCAGGGCCCCCTTCCTAAGGTCATATACCTCCCAAAGCCCCAGAGGCTGGCACCACCCCTACAGGAACCTTCTTTCTATCTGTCCCTGCCCTGGGGGCACCAAGCTACCACTAGGGGTCAAAGTATTCCTCCACCCTGAAAAACTAATATTTTGTCAATTTTCCTAAAGAGGAGCCAAGACCTCAGATAGGGGCACCAAAATCTGCAAAATGTGACTTCTAGGCCCAATGCAAGTCACTAGCAAGCAAAGGCCCCCAATCCTACCCGGGCCTAGCATTGCTGTCCCCCAGTTTCAAGTCTGGAAGGGTATCCCATGGTTAGAAAACCCAGATTTAGACAAATACAACATCCCAGGGCTCTAAGACCTCTAATCAATGGTTGGTGGGAGTCTGCCAGCCCTTTCAAAGGGACAGAGCCCTGGGTCATCTGAACTCTAGTATGCCTTTAGGGTGCCATATCACTTCATGAGCCCAAAGCCTGACCAGGCTGGAGTGATGGGACTGCCTGGGGCTAGGGAGGGGCACTGGATCCTCACCTCAGTCCTACAGACACCTACTGTGTGACTTTGGGCAGAACCCTCTGAGCCTGGACCTCTTTCTCTTCCTCAGTGCTGAGAGGCTAGGGCAGGGTGAGGGTGTACCCTGGTATGGTCCTGGTCATTCTGGAAATAGTCTCTAACTCTGCTTAAAAGTGATGCCCTGACTTCCTGTGGGCTCTCCGCCAACAAGTTCTACCCATGTGCCCGACAGCCCCGGATGCAACTGGCATCCGTTGGCCAGGGAAGGTTCCTGCAGTGGTAGTGAACAGATACCCCCTGTGGCTCTGAGGGTCATGAGCTCCTCGGGCAGTACAGCTGAGCGCCACACGCGTTATCAACCACAGCAGAGTGGGGGGAGCAACAGGGACCCTGAGCCACAGCCTGGGCACCAAGGGAACAGCAGCAGGTCAAAGGACAGACACAAGAGGGAGTGAGGGGTCACAGTGAGGAGAAGGAGGTTGAGTAGGGCAGAGAGAAAAGAGGAGGAGCCAGGAACAGAGGGGAGGAGGCTGGTCAGGATGAGGGGGGAGGGTGCCAGGCCCTGGAGTCAGGTCCCAGGGGCTCTCTCTCCAAGCCAGCAGAGTCTTCACCAATGAAGGGTCCAAAAAAGAAAAAAGGGGGCTGGAAGAGCAGGTCAGTCTCCTGTAAGGGAGCAGGTCCAAGCAAAGAGCTTGACTTTCCCATCCGGAGGACAGGGTGTACTAGGAGTGTCAGGGTGTCCATCTGTCCAGAGAAGAGGTGAAATTCCAGCCTACTCTGCAGTGATGCCTCTTGAAGATGGGTATGGGGGGGCAGGCCCCTCCCAAAGGAAAGCGGGGAGAGCAGACTGGAGAAAGCAGCTCTTCCATACACATTCCCCAAAATGCTGTTCAGAGAGTGATAACCAGTAACCTATTAGTCAGCAGCCAGAGCCTCAGAGCAGGAATTGATGGGCACACTGATGTCAGACACAAAGACAGGCATGCTGTGTGAACATGGATGGGATGGATGGGGAGAAAACAGCCTATAGAGAGAGGGATGAAAGGAAAGAGCATGGTCTCCTGGCTTGGTCTAACTCACTTCTGAGGGTGAGGTTGGGGTGAAAACATCATCCAGCTTCCAGCTCCATGCAAGGAGCTTCAAAAACACACAGCCACACCGGCAGTGGTGGCGCATGCCTTTAATCCCAGCACTAGGGAGGCAGAGACAGGCGGATCTCTGTGAATTTGAGGCCAGCCTGGTCTACAGAAGGAGAGCCAGGACAGTCTCCAAAGCTACACAGAGAAAACAAACAAACAAAACAACCCCACAGCCACTTCTCTTCTCTCAAGAGGCTCTGCACAGAGAGGTTGCACTTGTCCCTGGTGCCATCTTCACTCAGGCTCCCAGCCTATAGATACATTCACGGTCCAGCCATGGCCCCAGGAGCTAAAGGGCTCTGGCATGCCATGTGTATTCCTGATGACTTAAAACATGGACAAGGCTTAAAAGTGCAAAACCAGTGAAAACTCAGGAGCAAGGGGAAATGTGAGAAGGACGGGGGGGACACTAAGGAAGAAGAGCCCAATGACAGAGTGTCCATGTCAGAGTTGGGCATCTCTGGGCACCACCAGCTTCTGAATAAAAAGCAGGGAATGTGGGCAGGGTCTGAAGAAGCAGGCCCCACTGAAGCCCAGACTATGCCCTTCATGGAGATGCCATGGGCACTTCCTGGGGACAGGCCAGACCTAGGGTAAGCAGCAAAGAACAGCCCACACTGCAACAGGGCTAAGCATCCAGGAGACACTAGCATCCCTAGGAACAGAGACCAGACCCCCTGCTTAGGTATTGTGTCTTGCTCAGGGGTAAGATCTGTGGTTGAACTTCTGGGGGAGGCACTCTCCAGTCCACTGGGTCTTCTGTCTGGAAGGAGATATCAGAGCCTTTCTGGCCCTCTCTTAAGTAACAGGTTCCCCATCTACAGAGGCCATCACAGAAGCCTCTCCTTCCAGTGTCTCCCCTGGTACCTCTGATCCTTCTTCAGGACTGCTCTGAGAGTCCTTGCCTGGGAGTCTGCTGAACTGTGTGGCTCCCCTGGAACCTCTGACTTCCCTCCTTACAGACAAAGACCACAAATCGAGACCAAACCTCTTGTTCCTTAGCAGGAGTCCCGCACAGAACTACAGCCTCCATGCTGCTGCCTATCTGGAGCCCAGCATCCCTGGGTGGTTCACAGGATAAGAAATAAGGAACTCAGGGCTGGACTGGACTGGAGACTCTATGTGGAAGCAGGCCCCTGCACCTGGCTCCATCTTGGGTCCCTCTCCCAGGCTAAGGTGCCACACTGAAGTATATTTGGTACTTACACAACTCTGTGTCCTCTGAGGAATCTGCAGACAGATGTGTTTGGTCTCAGCTTTGTCATGACCTATGCTAGAGTTTAGCTCTCAGCACCCATGTCTCTGTAGATGGGGAGGTATAGGGTGCAGGCTGGTGACTGTCATTACTCTGGGACATTCAGACTAGATCTCTCTGGATCTTATTCTGACTGACTGGGATTCATGAGACACAGGCAGAAAGGCAAGCCTGTAGGAAGGAGGTTAGATCCCAAGGGTTAGGTCCCAGGGGCCCACCAAGATCAGTTTTCCTAGCCAAGGATGCCATCTCCCGTCAAAAGAAACTCCAGCTTCTTCCCAGGGAATCAAGAACTGTCCAAGGAAGCCAGAGCATCTGTCTTCTCTCTGAGGATCAAAGGCTCCAGGCTTCCCCTGTTCAGTCTCACCACAGCAGAGCCAAGCACTTAGCCTTGTGAGACCACATGCATGCAACCAGTCCAGGTAGACTGAGAAAGGCAGAATGACTCATGGGGCCCTGGACAGGACCTCTCTTCTAGGACAGTGCCAAGGGAATATAGTTGGGCAGGGAGGACTGCTGTGTTCCCTGGCAGAGCTTTCATCTGCCACCCACTCAGCGAGCTGTGACTGTAGGTCATCACAGAGATGTAGGTACCGCCTCAGACCAAGTGAGGTTCTGGTCACCCGAAGAGCCTCCCATCCCAACTCCTGCCTCTCAGCCTATCCTTGGCCTAAGAGTACAAAGGCCAGGTGAGCAATGAGGGAATCAACACAAGTATCTAAACAAGGCACCCCAAAGTCCACGATCTACCCCAGAAATGCTCCAGAGATCAAGGTGAGGATGAGAATCCGGAAGAATGTTTAAAAGCTCAAAGCTCTGGTGATCTGGAGAGCCCTGCTTCCCCCTATGACCAGACTCATGGTGCTCTGCTTAGCCTCTGTGGCTTGAAGGCATCTACAGGGCAGGTCCTTGGGTGTGGCACTTTCTTGGTATGGCATGGACAGTTGTGTCAGCAGCCTGGACACTGTGGGGCCTCTCCACTGAGGGTGCCCTGCACTGCCATCTGTGAGGCAGCCTCCTGGCTCTGGATCCTGACCTAGCACATAGCTGGCCCCCACAAGAAGTCCCTTAGAAACCAACCAAATGAGTAACTCTGCATTCTCTTTCCATCATGACCACAAAATCCAGGGCCTAATAGATAACCTAACCATGCCCTTTATGCCCCTGAAGACCAACAGGGAATATGTAGGCTAGACCCTGTTCTCACCCATGGGCCACAGCAAAGATAACAAGATGGAAAAAGCCAGCAGGCTGACAACTACCACCCAAAACCCTAAACTTTAAGGCCCGGGTTTAACACAGGCACCTTCCCCAGTCATTAATAGCTTAGTTACGTTGGCAAAATCAACATAAAATTTCATAATTGGGCCAAGAATGATGGTACACACCTTTAATCTTAGCACTCAGGAGGCAAAGTAGGTGGATCTCTGTGAGTTCAGGCCAGCCTGGTCTACAGTGCCTGCCTGGTAAGCTGGTATCTTCCCAGAACACCTACAGAACTCACATGAGACATGGCCATGAACACAAGCTGAGAGACAAGTGTGAGATAGCATGTTCCTGTGTCCAGAGTGCACACAGGAACCTGCACACAGCATCCCAGAGATAGCTCTAATCTAAGTGGAGCAGCTAAGGGTGGCTGCATGCAGGGGCCAGCTGTTTGTGGTCCTTATATCTGCCACTGGGCTGAGCTGAGCTTGGGCTTGTACCTAGCAGGTGTCAACAAGCAATTCCATAATGAATAAGCCCATGAATGAGCAAGTGAACGTGCCAACCGACAAGAATGAGTTTGTGCCATCTTGTGTGTGCAGGACAGATGCTACCAACACTCCATAGGAGTGACTTGAGAGGACAGTTATCACACGCAGATGCATTCCAACAGGTGTGTGTGGCTGTGTTCTGGGTTATCAGGCTTCAGCATCGGACCTGAGGGACATTGGTTCAGGCTGTGAGGCCTGGACAGAGGAGTCACAGCCCTTGGGGACTCAGATACCCCACCTATCTCCAAACTGGTGCCACCACCAGCTTCTCCAGACAGAGGGGAGAGTAGGTCAGAGGCAGGCCAGGGAGAGGCCAGGAGGCCTGGGATGGGGTGGTTACCAAGGTTGACGGTGAGCTTCATCTGCCCCCCGTCCAGCTCGAGGCGTAGAGTGTCGGCTGACTCCCTGGAGGTGGTGGCCATCATGAGTCCATAGGCCCTCTGAGACATGAAACGCAGGGACACGTCCTCTGCCTCTGTGTGCATGGCATTGGGCAGCATGATCTTCATGTACATGGAGCCATCATAGCTTAGGACAGTGGCCTCTGCCCCAAGAGTGGAGAACAGAGAAGAAGTGGAAAGGGAAGAGAGAGAGAAAACAAGGGAGCCGTTACTAGGAGAAAGCCAGGCTGGCCTGAGGGGCGCTCTCAAGAGGAATGGATCTCAGGGATGGAAGTGGGGTCCTTCTGACACAGGACACCTAAGACCAAACCCAGCCTCACCTCTCTCACAGACCCGACCCAGAAAGCCGGTCCCGATGCAGTCACAGACGAACCGGTTCCAGCCCTCTCGACAGATGCCCCCGTTTCGACAGGGTGCTGAAGCACACTGCTTCAATGTCTCCCGAGAGCAGAAGGGAGCAACACCCACAGCCCCCTGTGCCTCCGCCAGGCCCCGGAGATCTCGACTCCGTCCATCTATGAAGAGGTCTCGAACACAGCCCACGTAGCCAGCCCGGAGAGCAGCCGTCCACACCTCAGGGGGCAGTGGCAGGTCCACCCGGCCCCCCTCAGGAAGGCCACCCAGGTACAGCTCACTCTCCAGGTCCAGGACTTCACTCTCTCCAGTGGCCAAGAATGGCGTGCTGCGGCTGTTCACAGAGATGGAGCCTGGGGACCGAAGGAGAGGGAACCTCATTGGAAATGGAAGTCACAGTCTGGAAAGGGGTGTCCTGGATTTATTGCCCAGTCCCCCTCCATCCTGCACCTAACAGTAGACTCAGGAGAATGGCTAACAGCCTTGTCCCTGGGGTCTAGCCTCTCTACCCTCTGTCTCGAGTCCAGGAGCTTGAGACCCAGTCAAGACCCTGCCCAGCTGTAATGTGCTACAGACCTCTGTACAGACCCTTCCTAGCCACCTAAAGAGACCTGCAGGAGGGAACAGGAGGCACATACACTCAGACTCCTGTACCCTAAAAGTGTCAGATCACTCTCTGGATCACCCCACCCCCAGCCTCTCGGACGGACAGGGAGCTGGAGGCAGAGAACCTGGAGGAGACTGTAATAATTTAATCTAAAGCCTCTACTGGAGACAAACACCCAGCCAGCTCTTACAACAGTGTGCTAGGCAGCCAGTGCTTCAAATGTCCCTGAAGTCTCATGGCCACTCCAGGAAGCTGGTCCTTTACTATCCTGCTTTGAGCCAGCAGGTGAGGCTTACAGAAACTGGGGAACCGGCCCAAGGACCACAGCAGAGGGGGAACATAATGGAAGTCCCAGTCAAGAACCCCAGGGCCTGTCTTTTCCACCCTTCAGCCCTACAGGCCTGCCTGGAACTGGTTCTATGGCCATCAGATAAGATGAACAGGCAAGCTAGCTCCTGGGGCCTAGGTTACAAGCTGGAGCTCCTGAGTTAGAAGAGTCATTTTGTGTTGTTTTGTTTTTGACAGCTGTTGGTTTTGTTTGCTTTGCTTTAAAAAAAAGAAAAGATTTTATTTTGACTTATGTGTCTCTGTGTGTGTGTATATGTCCATGTGTGCATAAGGGTACCTGCAGAGGCCAGAAAAGGACAGTGGGTCCCTGGAGCTGGAGCTACAGGAGGGCATGAGCTGCTGGACATAGGCGCTGGGAACCAAACTTCAGTCCTTCACAAAAGCAGTAAGACTCTTAACCACTGAGGGTCTGTCTCTAGCCCCTTGTTTTATTCTGGAAACAGTCTCATATTGTAGCTCAGGCATCTCTAGGACTCACTATGTAGCCCAGGCTGGCCTCAAACTCATGGTGATCTTCCTGCCTCAGGCTTCTGAGTACTAAGATTCCAAACACACCCCTTGCCTACCTACCAAAACTCAAGTTGAAATTTGGCTGCCATTGCTGCAGTGACAGGACCTGGGATCCTTAACAGTGGTTAGTTAGGTCGTCACCGACCCTGTCTTTCGTTCAGGGGTAGGCTCATGAGAGGGTCTCTCAGGAGAGCAGGCTGTTAAACAGTGAGGCAACCCCTCCAACTTGTCTCCTTTGTGTGGGAATGCCTGCCCTTCAGTTTGCCTCATGTTAGGACAGCACGAAAGCCTACCCAGAAACTGACACTGTGCCCTTGGGCTTCTCAGTCCCCAGAACTGTGAGCCAAGTAAACTTGTCATTACAAATGCCTAGTCTCCAACTTCGTGTTACAGCAACAGAAAACAGATTGAGACAAGTGGTCGCCTTAGAAAAAACATCTAGGATCTGGTGGGAGCTTCAAAGCCTTTATTATAATCTTAAACTGCAGAACTACCTCTCGGTGTGTGTGTGTGTGTGTGTGTGTGTGTGTGTGTGTGTGTGTGTGTGAGAGAGAGAGAGAGAGAGAGAGAGAGCAGAGAGAGACTTGCTTATGTAGCCCTAGTCTGGAGCTTGTTATATAGACCAGATTCATATATATGACCTAATCTTTCTGCTTCTACCTACTTACAGATATGTGTCACTGTGTCCAGCAACTGTGTGTGTGTGTGTGTGTGTGTGTGTTGTGTGTTTTGTGTTGTGTGTGCTGTGATATGTGTATGTGATGTGTGTGTTGTGATGTATGTGTATATGCTGTGATGTACGTGTGTATTGTGATGTGTGTTATGATGTATGTGTGCATTGTGATATGTGTGTTGTGATGTGTGTGTTGTGATGTGTGTATTTTGTGGGGTGTGTGCATGTGTGTGTGTGTGTGTGTGTTGTGTTGTGTGTGTTTTGTGGTGTGTGTGTGTGTGTGTGTGTGTGTGTGTGTGTATGTGTATGTGTGTGTGTGCAGAACATAGGGTGATATTCAGGAGTCAGTTCTCCCCTCCACTGTGGGATCTGGGGAACAAACTCAGGCCATCAGACCTGACCAGTAAGAGCTTTCACCAGCTGAGCCATGGCACCAGGCGGTGGCCCCAAGCCTGTTCTCTCATGACAAGGTATCTTCAGGACCTGCTTCAGGACCCCTCTCCTAGCAGGGTTACCCAGAGTCCCCAGAGCCTGCTGTGACCGACCCATCCTTTGGCTGGGTCTTTGCTGGAATCTTAGCAAGAACTGGATGAGAGGGAAGGAAGAAAGAAGAAAAGAGGTGTGTTGCGGATCGGGGAGCTCTGGAGTGGAAATACATGTACTCTGGCCTCTGCTCCGGTCAGGTCACTCCCAAATACAAAACAGGAGCAACCTGACTCATCCATTGATGGGAGAACAGATAAACAAGATGCGAGCATGGCACTGGGATGTAATTCAGACTTCAAAAGGAAGGGAGTTCTGACTCACACTTAACAAACACGAGCCCGAAAGACAAGAAGACAAATTCACAAGTTGGTTATGGTGGCACGTGCCTATAATCCCAGCACTCAGGAAGGCTAAGGCAGCAGGATTTCAAGTTCTAGGTTAGCCGAGCTGGGGAGATGGTTCAGTGCTTAATGTACTTGCTCCTCATGTATGAGGCCCAGAGTTCAAATCCCCAGAAACTCACATAAATGCCAAGTGGGTGTGGTGGCCCACCTGTAATTTCAGCCTTTTAAGGCAGAGACCAGGGATGCCCAGAGCAAGCTGTCTGGCTATATCTGTGAGCTCTGGGTTTGCTTGAAAGACCCTACCTCAATAAACAAGATGGATGATTACTGACATCAGCCTTGGATCTCTACATGCATGTACACCCACATACATGTGCCCCAACATACATGCAAACATGAACATAGACACATGAAAATGGAAAAAGAAGAGGAAGGAAAAATACTATGTGACTTCACTAACCTAAAGTCTCAGAGTCGTCAGATTCAAACAGAAAAATGGCAAGAGAGGGAGAGAGGAGAACTTATGTTTAATAGAGACAACCACAGCCGGGCGTTGGTGGCGCATGCCTTTAATCCCAACACTCGGGAGGCAGAGGCAGGCGGATCTCTGTGAGTTCGAGACCAGCCTGGACTACAAGAGCTAGTTCCAGGACAGCCTCCAAAGCCACAGAGAAACCCTATCTCGGAAAAAAAAAAATAGAGACAACCTCAGTTTGGGAAGATGAGAAAACGGCACCTGATGGCAGTGAGGGCTGCACAGCAACATGAGTGCAATCAATGCCACAATCATGATTAGTTATTAAGACTGTATATTTTATGTGATACACAACTTACCACAATTTAAAAAACTAAAAAGAATCAAAAGTGGAGAGCAACCGGGGAAGGCCAAGGAGACAGGTCAGTGTGTGAAGGCACTCGCTAGGCAAGACTGACAACCCAAGTTGGATGCCCTGAACACACATAAAAGATGTGGTTGCATGTGCCCAGGATCCCAGCATTCCTATGGCAAGATGAGAGATGAAGAAAACCACCCAGAATCCAGCTAGCCTCAGCAAGGTGGAAGGCCAGAACCAGCTCCCCAAAATGTCCTCTGACCTCTCCACACATGCTGTGACACAGAGCAACACACTATATAAAAGAGGAGAAAAGGAGTCCAGCGTGTGGCTCGGCAGGAGCAGGCCCTGGGTTCAATCGTCAACACTGGCTTGTGGGAACTCAGGAAAACTAGGGGAGGTCTAAGCTGTGTTTGAACAGATGCTCCGAGTACCTGAATGGACTTCCAGCCCGAGGATCGCTGACCACCTGTGTGGAACACTAGAGACTGTCATGAGGCAGAGCCAGGGGCTAAAGTCCTTTTTTCATGGATTTCTCTGGTGAGGGAAGGCCTCACTTCTGGGAGCCCAGCAGCCCCCTCCTCTCTGTGAGCAAAGAGGTGACTCCACCTGACTCTCAGGCCAGCAGTGGTGACAGCTATAGGACTGAGAAAAATTCAGCTGACCTGACAAGCACTTAAACTGGATAATGTGCCAGGCCTCATTTGTATCAATTTGGGTTCAACAAGATGGAGGCAAGCACACCAGAATTAGCAGGCAGAAAACAAGAGCCTGTGAGAGGGAGGCTGAAAGGGAAGGATGGAGGAGGGGGCGGCTAGAACAACAAGTGAAAAGTAGTTCACAGCCATACCACTCAGGACACATCCAATGTCATCCGACCCTGGAAGCCAAGCAGGGTCAGGCCTGGCTAGGTACAGCCCAACCAGTTGTCCCTAGATTTGGAACTCTCATGGCTGGGCAGGTGCAGTGGCCTAGTCGCTGCCCCTCTGATGGCCCAGAATGAGGTGGACAGTCTGTCAGTCCACAGTTAGTGCTCAGAGAGTCAGGCAGCTTCTGTGTACTCAGGTTCTGAATTTATGCAACCAAAATAGGTGGTAATGTCTAAGGGAAGAACTGTCTGTACTAAACACACACAGATACTGCTGTCCTTATTCACCAAACAACATGACAATGACCATCACAAAACTACTATGTCACTATTATATAGCATTTATTCTCTCTCTCTCTCTCTCTCTCTCTCTCTCTCTCTCTCTTTCCCTCCCTCTCTCCCTTCCTCCCTCCCTCCCTCTCCCTCCTGGTTTATGTGGTACTGGGGATGGAGCACAGGCTTCATGAATGCTGGGCAAGCACTCTCCCAGCTCCAGCCCCAGCCCCAATGTCTACCTTCTATTAGGCATTTTGAGGACTCAAGAGATGACTTAAGTCACCCAGTAGAAGGTGTATAGATGACATACAATACTACATTGTCTTTTATAAGGGGTCTGAGCATAGTGGATTTTTGTCTTTGCGGGTCCTAGGAGCAATCCTCCCAGACACTGAAGAATAAAGAAATAAGGCTCTGGATAAAAAGGAACCATGACTAGAAAGCTATATAGAAATATAGATAAGCTATATTCTTCGTTTTGTTTTGACTATGTAACGCTAGTCGGCCTCAAACTTAGGATGATCCTCCTGCCTTTGTCTCTGGAGTGCTGGGATTTCAGGTGTGAGCAACCTCTCCTGGCTTTGAGAGTTATTTTCTTCAAGATACAGGACATCTCTCTGTGTTAGGTGCTATGTTAGTATTTTCAAATGTGCTCTTTCCCACCCACAATGACCCTTGGGTAATTGCTCCTGTTACAAATAAGAAAGAGTGGCCCTGTGCCTTCTGCCAGATCATAGTGACAGAAGGGCCAAAGAAGGACTGGGAGAGGAGACTAGGAACAGGAAATGAAAGCTTGAGACATCAGGCAGGTATAAAAGAGTGGTCAAGGGAAGGAAAGGTCCAGAGGCCTCCTGACCTTTGCGCCCATCCCTCTGGAAGTCCACGTGGCACCATTCGCCGTCATTGACCTTGCGGCTGGACGCCCGCAGCTTGATGCCCCCAGAGCCCATGTCCAGCAGAAGATAGAGGTAACCGTCCAACAGCTCCATGGCAAAGTAGTCAGCCCTCTGGGAAGAGCTGTGGCTGCCTGCCCCGGCCCGCCGGCCCTGGCTGAAGAGCAGCAATCCATTGGGCTCAGTGGTTCGGAAGTCCAGGGAGATAGAGCCAGTGCGCTTGGCACTCCAGCGAGGCAATGCGACAAAGGCCTCAGGACTCTCAAAAGTCACAGGGTCCAGTGCAGCCACATCCTCACAGCGAAAAGACAAATCCCCCTGCAGCTTCATCTTCGGGTCGCCTTCCTTAGCCAGGCGGGATAGCTCCAGCTTGAAGTCATTGTTCTTGTAGACCACCTATAAAGAGGAGAGGGGTCTGGGTGAAGAAGCAGAAGAAGCCTTGGATCTGGCTACCCAGGGCCCTCCCTCCCTGGCAGCCATTGGCCATCGCCCATCCTCACGGCCCCAAGCTCAGCACCATCAGCCCACAAGGCTCAGGCTTCTGTTCTCGAGCTACACCTTTCCCTTGCTGCCTCTGTCCTGTCCTCCAGCCCCACAATGGCCAGGCATCCCCTTATGTGAGCTCCTAGGTCCAACTCAACTGTCACTCACAATGACAAAAAGGCATGCCACTGTTGCTACTGTGGGTTGCTGTTTTCTGAGACAGGGTCTCATGTGATTTAAAATGGCTTCAAACTTACTGTATACTGACCTTGAATCTGTCTTTCTGTCTCTACCCCCAAATGCCGGGATTACAGATGTACACCACCATGCTCAGCTCATGTGGTTCTGATAGGGCCCATGGGCTTCACGTGTGCTAGGCAGGAGTCCTGTCAGCTGAGCTGCTATCTACCCCAGTCCCTGCTTGCTGTCTTCCAGTAGATATTAACATTCTCCCGTGTTCTGCACAAAAACTGAAGTAGCAACCAACCTTTCATCTACACATCAGGCAACTCATGAGGTCAAGTGACTTGGCCAAGACAACAGAGTAGTGAGTGAAAGACATGTGACTGAGCTAGGCTTTAGCCTTCAACCTTCGTACCCACCAGCCTTCCTTGGGGGCCACAGCTCTGAAGATCCTCAGAGGGCAGGGGAGTTCCAAGGCCCAAAGAAACAAAAAGTTTGACATCTTGACTTGAGCCAATAACTTTAGGTTTTAAAGAAGGGTTACAATCCCACCATGGACTCACAAGGAACAGAGGCCAGGGGCAGCTAGTTGGTCAGGCATACTAAATCCCACGGCAGTATAATCCCATACTAAATCCCTGGTCAGTGGTAGCCCTTCCAAACCCTACTCACATCCTTGAGGCAGCCCATGAAGTTGTTGCTGACAGGTGAGCCAGGCAGGTCGGCTGTGTTGGGGCTGCCCCCAATGTAGAAGAAGTCATCAGAGCCCAGCATGGTGTAATCCTCCTGTGTGTAGCCTGTGGTGGTCAGGATCCCGTCCACCGAGATGGTCACCTGCCCAGCCCAAGGAGGGGGAGAGACAGGAGACAACTGGCATCAACGCCCTGGGAAGAGCCACAGGTGGGCAAGGGAGGGACCAGGGGGCAGTGGGGGAGGGGGACCCCCATTTTTATGTCTGCTTGTCTTGGAGGAGGAACAGTGGGAGTAGAGGGGGAGGGAGGAAGAGGAAGCAGCACAGATTTGATGGTTTCAGGGTAGGCTTAGGCCTGCTCTACATGACCCATGTCGAATGGGAGCCTAAAACTGGCATGGATGAGCTCAAGAAGCAACTCCAGGGAGGTGCTCTGTATTAGGAGACCTCAGAAGGGCCCCACTGTGAAAGGTGGGGAAAGCAAGTTACATCCTCAGCTCTCTCAGCAGAGCACTGTGGGCACATGTGTGGCTCCCAGCGTCTTTCTGAAGAGGAGCCTCTCCCTTCCTGGCCTTCCTGGGTAGCAACGCTGAGACTCACTTGCAGCCAGCCCTTCCATCTGGGCTCCCTGGTCTTGCAGTCTTAGCTGGGGAGGCAGCTGAGACAACAGAGAGGAGGAAGATGCAGGTATGTCTGCAAGTCTTAGGACAGGAGGTACGTGACATCTGTTATGGCTGGCTCCTACCTCTGCCATTCAAGTTCTACCCGGATATTTTGAGTCATTTTTCAGGAAAACCTAAACTAGTATAGAGCTTAGGTTTAAAAACCCTAAACTAGTCTATAAAGCCTAAACTGGCCTTGAACTTGTGGTAATCCTCCTGCCTCATCCTCTCGTGTGCTGAGATTATATTCCTGGGTCAGTCACTGTTTTTCTTCCAAAGAAGAGAGTGGCCTTATGCTATTTCCCAGCTCACACTTCATCCTTCTCTGTAGGTGGCACCCTTGTTGTTCTGCCCCTAGGAACAGTAAGGCCAGGGCTAACCTAAGGAAAAACAGTCCCCCAGAAAGCAAGATGCCAAGAGCAGGGGTGTGACTGGTGTTTAAAAAGGTACTGGACACTGGGCTGGGGAAGGCAGATGCTACCTTTGAGACAACTCTGATTCCCCCTACTCAGCAAATGTTCACCTGGTGCCTGAAGCGTTTAGTCTCCCAGAGGAGCTCTGGGAGGCTTCACTCACAGCAAGACTGAAGGGGAGGAGCCAATAGCAGAGGTAACACACGCTTCTCTCTAGGAGACTATGACTTAGGAGATTCAAGCAGGCCACTAAGGACCTGGTTCTTTGTCAGCCCCATCCTGTACTTCCACAGCTGCAAGTTAGAGTCCTTCTTGCTCCCCAAATATGTTTCAAAAGTACCCCTTTTCAGGTAAAGTATTAAAGTAAGGGCCTGCCAGTCACACAGTATGATACCCCATACTCCAATCTGTAGCACAGGCTACCAGCCACCTTCAGTATTCTATTGTCAAGAAGGTGGGGTAGAACTCCTAAGATCAGGGGAATCCAACAGCGCCCCCCTTGTGCTTGGTTGGAGCCTCATGGTGAATAGGGTGGGGCTGAGCAGAGGGCAGACTGAAGAAGCCACCTCCTGGGAACCATCAAACCTTGTGCTAGAACTGGGTTCAAGGACAGGAGGAGACAGGTGGCTTGGGAAGAGGCAGTCTGAATACTTTTGAGTCTTGTTTTGAGGGGAGGATTGGTCATGGTTATTTATTTCTTCTCCCCTCCACCATGTCCTGAAGCTAGGAAACGGGGTTTGGGTAGAAAGGGAGGGTCAGAGAGGTTAGTCACAAAAACATGCAAACGAGGTTAGAGATTGGACTGGGCAGAGGGGAGAAAGGAAGAAGGGGTCAGAATAAAGGGGTCGGGATAAGTTGGGGAAGGTGAGGTAGGTGAGTGGGTCTTCCTGGGGCAACATGGCTGCACTGACTCTCTTCCTCCATGTCCCCTGCTGCTGTCCTAAAAGACTGAACTGGGCTGCCAATCAGCTCCTAACCATAAGTGGGTTCAACCTAATCAGGCTTCCAACAAAGATCAGTCTTGGCATGTCCCCAGAACCCCCACTAACCTCAGCAAAGCCGAGGAGACATAACACATGGTCATCAAAGGTCCACATCAAGTTGCCTTGTGACCCAGTGCAGGGATCTCCAGCTAAAACTAACTCCCCAAAGCCTAGGACTTTGGCTGAGAGAGCCTCACATGAGTGACCATGCTCAGCAATACTCATCACTCCTCCCCTCCTGGTCCCAAAGTACCTCAGGAAGTCTCCATCCTTGGCCTCTGAAGCCAGGGCGCCATCCTGGGATTGCCTCACGCTGTGGGCTCTCTTCGTCCCACTACATTTTGCCAAGATCAAGGTTGCCCTTTCTTGGCCCTATCTGAGTTAGAAGGGTCTGACTTGGAGCAGACTGTGGAGGCCCAAGACGTCCTCCTGAATCCCCTTCCAGGCAGGGTGTAAATCTCAATTTGCCTGGTGACTATATTCAGATCAATCGTGGAGGGCCCTGTTGGGAAAGGATGGCCTTAATCTCCCTCTCCTGACCCATGGGGCTGGGGAAAGGCTAGCAGGAGACAGGGAGCATGGGGAGGTCCGCTGAGGAAGGAATCAGCCAGGTGGGTGGGGAGGAGTTGAGGGAGAGGAGAGGAGAGGTGGTGGGTGGAGAGGAAGTGGAGGAAGGTGTCTGGGGAAGGCAGAGAGGGGGATGATTTAAGATTAGTAAAACCCAACTGTTTCCTCAGACAAATCAGTCCAGACACAAAAATGGCAGGTTCGTTAGTAAAGGCAGGAAACAGGGGAATAATTCCCCTGCCCCCTCCACCCCAGGGGTTCTTGGTACACCTGCCCCCCAATCCCCCCCATGAAGCTTCTGGAAGGGGTGGGGCCAGCAGGGGAGGAGGGGAAGAAGGGAGCACATGCCACACAGAACAGCCACTGCAGCTGGGACCCATGCAGGTTAGAAGGGCAGGGTCGGGGGCCAGGCACTGCCCAAGCAGGCCAGAGAAAAGCAGCTAGCAGGTGAGAAGGCGTGCAGGGCAGGGGAGACGGGGAAGAGCAGAGATGGAGGCGAGAGAGCCATGAAGTGCAGGAAGAAGCTTCCTTCCACTGAAGAGGAGGTGAGGAGCAGCCACTGGATCAGAGTTGTTTAGGGACTGACAGAGAAAGAAACATCAGACCTCAGTTTCCTCATCACACATTTCCTCTGCCATTCGCCACAGACAATCAGCCCACACACATCGGCACACACAACACATCCTAGAAGGTTCTGGAAGGAGGTCTTGACTGCTCCTCTCCATGCAGCACTGGGGACAACAGCTAGGTCGCCAAGACACAGAAGATGATCTATGACCAACCCATACTGACCCACTCAACATAGTGTGTTCTGAGGATGTTAAGGGGAATGAGTAGCGTGCTTGCCCAGAAGATGAGCCCAGGTCCATAACCACACCCTCTCCACAAACGAGAAGACTGGCTGGAGGAGGCTCAATGGACTCAAGACCTGAATGGACCAGCCAGCCATCCCCTCCTCAGCTCAGTATAGGGAGGCTGGGTGGGATGGTAATCCAAGTCCTAGCCACATATATACCCACATGGAGCAAATGCCCCAGGAAGAAAGGCTAAAGGAAACGGGAATTCTCGTGCCACTATCAGGAGCCATCCCCAGGGGGCTCACAGCATCATTAACTTGTGGGTGGCTGAATGGTCTTTCTTGAGTCCAGTGACAATACAGGTCACACTGCACCAATGAGCTATTTTTGTCTCCTGTTAAGCTACTAGTATCTTTTTTAAAGACTTATTTATTGTATGTTTTGTCTTCATGTATGTCCGTGCACATGTAAGTGCAATGCTAGTGGAGTGCAGAAGAGGGCATCAGATCCTCTGGAACTGGAGTTTCAGGGGGTTGTGAGCTGCCATTTGGGTGTCGGGACTTGAACCTGGAGCTCTGAAAGAGCAGTCAGTGCTCTTAACCACTGAGCCATTGCTCCAGCCTGTTTTCTCTCCTGTTGGACCACATTGCTGTCATCATATACTCCAAGGGTTCCACAGGCTTATGGTTAAGAACGAGTCCACAAAAAAAGTTCCCAGAAGCCCCTTAGGGTGATATAGGATGGAGCAGGGCTGGGAGCAGGGAAAAGCAGCTTCCGGCTGAGGGAGAGATCACAGTCCTGCTAAGCTCACTTTGTGTTCTGTGCCAGACACAGGCAGTAGTCACAGCCCTCCCATGAGGGATGAACTCTGGATTTCAGGAATTTTAGGAGGGAAAGACTTCAGGTCAGAAATCCCAGGTTCTCTTTTATCATTTACTATTTTCCAGAACAATTTTGCCTTTCTGATAAAAAAATTTTTCTGTCAAAACAAATTTGCCTTTCTTTCCTTTTTCTTTGTTTTTGTTTTTGTTTTCTTTGTGTAGCCCTGGCTGTCCTGGAATCCGATTAGTAGACCTGGCTGGCCTTGATCTTAGAGATCAGGCCTCTGCTTCCCAAGTCACCACTCAGGGCTCTGACTTTCATCTTTAAAAGGGGCTGAACAACTTTGGGCTCTCCCATCTCTTTCCAGCAGACTGAGCATCCGATTAGTTAAGTAAAAATGATAAATTCATCCATAGTATAAAGGGAGGTGCTTTCTCTGGGCCACAGCTTCCCCATCTGCTAAGTGGGGACAAGCTCAACCTCCTGCCTAGAGTCCAGGAATCATCAAATGTAAATGAAACTCAAAATGTAGACCAGGGAGATAGCTGGAGGTGGCTCAGCCAGGAGAGGTGCTTGCTGCCAAGACTACCAATAACCTGAACTTTATCCCAGACCTAAATGGTGGAAAAAAAGAACCAAATCATGTAAATTGGCCTCTGACCTTCACACACACACACACACACACACACACACACACACACAATGACATGCTTCACCACACACATAAATAGATTAAATAAATAAAAACGTAAAAAGGAAAAAAGAGAAATCCAGGCATGGTGGAACATGCCTTTAATCCCAATATCTGGGAGGCAGCACCAGAAGGATCTCTGTGAGTTTGAGACCAGCCTGGTCTACATAGTGAGTTCCAGGACAGCCAGGGCCACATAGAAAGACCC